TTATTCAAAGACCAGGCACATTCAATCAACATTATAAAAATATTGACTGGTATTCTATAACAGATGCTAGTTTTAAGCAAAAACCAAAGTATCTGTTAAATAGCGCAATATATATGCCGTTCCTAATATTGCTGGTTTTTGTAGCCCTGCTCTGCAAGCGAGATGTTTCGATGGCCCAGTCTCTGTCCTTTGTTAATTTTTCTAATTCTTTATTTTCAACTCTGGCATCCCCTGGAATTGCCAGGTCAATGATCCAAACCTTTTTTATTCTATTTCTACTCTATCTGGTGTGTTATGTTCAAGGTATCAATTACTACTACTACTTTAAAATAGAGAGGCATAGATTCAGGGATTCAGAAGGCTATTAATGAATCACTGGAAGATCAGTAAATGCTAATGGAATAAATCATCCTCTGTTGGTTCTGAATTACTGGAATTGTGTGGCTGTTTGACAAACCATGCGTAAAACAAACTAATTGAGAGGTCAGTTCATTAAAGAGGTCACATCTCTCTGTGTGTTTGGCAGCCTCCACGAGCATGTGACGATTACTGGTTTGAATGGAAACACTGCAAGAGCCTACGGAACAGGTTCTATCATTACTACATCTATGGCGAAGCCCCCTCCTGTTCTCAGTGGAAGAAGGATTATAAGAATTGCCAGGAGTGGCAGAAAACGAAAAGCGCCATGGCTAAGGTATGTTGAATGGGAAAGGAAGATTTTGTGCAGTGGAAGATCCGACGCTTCCACCTTGATTTGGCCGGTTATTTCCTCTACGCAGTAAAACTGCAGAACGTCCTATGATTCGACTGCAGGTAGCACCTAACAGTCATGGACAATCTTTCTCAGTAGGGAGTTTGCAAAATAGCAAACCAGAGGCCATGGGGGGGGGGTAACATGGGGTGAGTTTATGCTCTGCCTGTAGTGTGACAGGCCTCAGTTGGCTGATGAGTACATTCAACTGAAATATTTGAACGGTCTTTCCCTGTTTAGACTGACTTTTGCTTTCTGTTATTTTCCCTTGTCAGGTTTAGCATCCAGCCCCCCTTGGGCTATAGTCCTCTCTGTTTACACCAGAGATGGGGTACATGCGGTCCTCCAGATGTTGTTGGCTTACAGCTGTCATCTGCCCTCATCCGCATGGTCCCTGGCCGTGTCAGCTGTAGGGCCACATGTTCTTGATTCTTGTTCTAGGCAGTGTAATCCATGCTGACCACGCTATATAATAATTATCATCGTACTATTGTAGGATGTTTTTATAGTGGAGTTAAGATGAGGTAGCTGTGTTCGTCTGTGTTAGCACATCGGGCAAAAACAAAGGAAAAATAAAGACAAAAATGTTGTGGCACCTTAAAGACTAACTGCTGTATTTTAATGTAAATTTTTGTGGACAAGTCCACTTCTTACGTCCAAGGAAGCAGACTTATCTATGAAATGTTCACACTAAAATATAACCAATAGTCTTCAAGGTGCCACAGAGTTTGCTTCAGCTTTTTTTTAATATTCCGATATTTCTATTGGAAGGCACGCTAATTTGCTCCATCTAATCATTACAGTGGTGCCTCGCTTGACGACATTAATCCGTTCCAGTGAAATCGCTGTACAGCGAAATCGTCGTCAAGCAAAATAAAAAAGCCCATTGAAATGCACTGAAAATAATTCAGTGCGTTCCAATGGGCGAAATACCTGCTCGTCCAGCGAAGATTCTCCATAGGGCGGCCATTTTATGCTCCCTGTATGGCAAAAAATCCGTCCTAAAAACAGCAGGGAGCCATTTTGCACAGCGGGCGGCCATTTTGGAAACCCGATGATCAGCTGTTTTGATCGTCGTAAAGCGAAAAATCGGTTCCCGAAGCAGGGAACCGATCATCGTAAAGCGTATTCCCCCCATTAGAACATAGTTTAGCAATTGCAAAAGCGGTCGCAAAAACCTAATCGTCAAGCGGATTTGTCATTTAACGAGGTAATCGTTAAGCGAGGCACCACTGTATTTAATTTTGTAATCATCGTCACCGTTCCTGTCCATTCCAGGATGCTCTGTGCCAGAGTGAAGGAGAGCGGATGGCAGAGAAACAGAAGCATGCTCCGGTGTGGAGTATGAGGAAAAGCCCCCCAATGGACTGGTATTTGCCCCTTGGTGAAGATAAACCAAAGTCATGACGTGCTAGATTTGGGACTTTTGATCAACACCTCCTAGGGACATTTATAGCAGCAGTATTGGACATGAAGATTTCCAGCCATCAATCCATGCTCCCGAAATGTGGGCCCCTCACTTCATTCACTCGTGCTGGATTTATTTGAAATACAAATGGCCATTCTGAATCTTTGTGTCTCTCTGGTACATTCCGTCGCATGTCCTGAAGCGGTTGGGTTTTTTAAGCCGTATTTATAGTGCTTCCTGCACAGTCAGAAAGAGCTCAAAGCAGCTATACAAAAATATTTAGCTATCTTTACCTGGGCTGCAATCAGGTTGAACTCACCAGCTCAGAGAGGCAAGCAGGGGGTGGGTCAAGGTGAGATCTGAAGGCCAGTTTATTTGACCATCTTATAAAATGGAACTAAAAATGTCTACAGAGCCAGTTCAAGTTTTGCTCAATCTAAGCGGATTTAAGAGGCACGAGGCCCCTGGGTCGGGTTCAAAGGCAAATGGGCCACTCCTGGAGGCTTTCAGGAGGGGGGGTCCCATGTCTCCTATACGAATGTGTTCCCCAGCAACGGGAATTTGAACTGCCTGGTTCTCCGTAGATATTTGTCTGCTCAAAGGCTTAACTTGCTTGTATTCTCAGAAATGCCACCCTCATTTATCGGCAGCAGCCAAAACTACAACCCTCACCCCTCAAGGAGAATGTAAATAGTAGATCGCTGGCATAAACAGCAGGGCATACATTATAGGATACGTCCTTCCCAAGGGGAGGAAAAGGTGTAGGAAGCCGGTACGTCAACCTAAGGATGGGAGAAAAACTTTTGTCTTGATTTTACTGCGTTTCTCAAAATCCCTTTATTTTCCTTCTCACCCTTGTTTCTTTTTCAGTTATAAGATGATTTTAGTTCCGATTTTGAAAGGCTAACATCTGTGTGTATTATTTTTTTTTCAAATTTACACTCTTACATATTTCATCTCATAGATGCCTTTCCCCCCCATGGACTAGTGCATCCTTGTTCCTAAATTCTCTGCATTCTATTTACTATTTCTCCTATTTACTATTTCTCCTTTCAACAGCACTGGGGTTAGGGCCACTGGAACCCTGTATAGTTCCAAAATCTGTGTAGAACTCTTACGTAACTTAAAAATGTAACGACAAAGGATAAACAGTTAGTTTTACACACAAACACACATACAGAACTCCCTGATTTGTGTCAGCCTCCCAGCATGACCCAGCACCAAGATCGTCCAGGTCACTGGTTCTTAACCTTGGGTTACTCGGGAGTTTTGGACTGCAATTCCCAGAAGCCTTCACCACTAGCTGTGCTGACTGGGGTTTCTGGGAGTTGCAGTTCAAAAGCATCTGAGTAACAAAGGTTAAGAACCACTGGTCCAGGTCACTCCCATTAGACCTGGGGCCACCAGACTATGACACGGGCCTCGGTAAGGCTAAAATCCACTTTTCTCAAGCCACTTTCTGAAGATGAACAGCACCACTGTATTTGTTGAACACTTTACTTATTGAAATATTTATGTGGTGGGAGATGTATAACCAAAACTGTGCTGTTTGAACCCATGCAAAAAGAGAGGAGTATATACAGGGCTTGAAAAATTTTAGAATGTCTCACCAGTCAGTCAAAAATTTCACCAGACTATAGCTTTGCAATTTATTGGGATTACAAATCACTGATTTATACCCTCAGACCTGGGTTGCTTTATTACCTGCATGCCTGTGGGGGCATGAAGCTTGTATTTTGAATGCCTTTCTTTTGAATGTCTCCAGCAAAAATAAAACTGAAAGCAACAGTGCCCAGCCTCTTAAGGAGCCACAGTTCCCTTCCACCCCAGCATGTGTCCTCGTTGGGTTGAACTTGGGAGCGGGGAATCTCCATATTCTCCAGCATGGGACTACTCTACATTCTCTTGCAGAGCTATACTGTATATGTACCGCTCGGACTCTCTTCTTGCAAGAAGAGGGCAGTTTTCCTTTTGCAATGGGAGGGAGGAGGGGAGGACTGCAGGATTAGAGAGAGAGAGACAGGCGGAGGGGAAGGAGGCAGGCAGGGAGGGAGCTGAGACTCGTCCAGCAGCATTTTTCACTCATCACAGACGAGTGCATTTTTCAAGCCCTGAGTATATATCTTAAAGCATGCTCCCCCTTTTGTTTGTGTTTTCATTTCTTTGCTACTCCTGGTAAGCTTCACAACCCCTAAGGTGTGTTTTCGCCTCACAGTTGTGTCTCAGTAAATTCGGAAACTTTCTTGTCCTTGAAAATGCCGGACTCTAAAGAAAAACTCTTTTTTCAGACTTGGCGGGGGAGGGAAGCTTTCCATGTGCCTCCTTTAAAGATTCAATCTCAATGACACTAAAGAAAATAGCGAAATGACTAGTATAAGTAATTTAATTGGGAAAACAATAATACAAAGACTTATGCACCTCTGCTCTCACACGAGCCATTTTAGTTATCTAATCCTGCCAATCAGTGGTCCCCAACCTTTTCCAAACCGTAAACCGGCTGGGAGGGGCGAGGTCCATGCACAGGGGGGCGCACATGTGCAGGTGGCGGGGCGTGCTTGCAGGTGAGGGGTGTGCTCGCGCACATGCACGGGTGCGCAGGGCATCTGTGCAGGTCGTTGGGCCAGAGATGGGTGCGTGGGAGATCTGTCTCAACGGCCCCATCCTGCCATGGCCACAGCCCGCTATCAGGCCGTGGACTGGGGGTCGGGGACCCCGGCTTTAGAGGACTGTTAAGTGTCCTGAATAAGATTACAAATCCTAGTAAAACTCTAGCATTTCCCCACTGATGTACATGCATTCGTTTCTTTTCCAAGAAGAATGGTTTTATAAAAGTCCAGAGGACAGTCTTTGTTCCAACAGAACAGGCGTGCAGCTGCTTACACACCTCCTCCCCAAAATGGACCCTACCCCCACCATTATATTGTTCCACTCAAGATTTCTCAGATGACCCCACAGAACCAGTACTTCAAAACCAGCAAAGGACCAGATCTGCATGACACCAAAAAACCTTCCATGAATCTTTCGGCGAGCCCTTGATCATCTTCCAAATCACTGAGTGTATACTTTAGTGACATCCACACATTTCCCTTCGGGGGCCTCGTAGTCTGGTAGGGGTGGCGAGTAGACGGGTTCCTGCCTCTCGAAGGGAAAGAGGCGTCCGTCGCACCGCGTCGCCGCCTGGTAGAGTTCCTCAGACTCGAGGCGTAGCTCTTCCAAAGCCTGGGCCTGGGCGTCCATGAGGGATCGGATGGTCTCCATCTCGGCCTTGTGTTGCTGGTGCTTGTACGAAGTCCACTTCTTCAACAGCAGCGCCCGCCTTTCGCTTTCCTCAAAGGAGAGGGGAGAATCGGGTCGCACCCTGAGGGAAAAACAAAAACACAAGGGTGCTACATATTTAGGCCCTACGTGGTGGCGGCTTTTGCCAAACCGCGTTCTTAAGAAATTATCCTCACTTCAGAGTGTCAAGCTACAAGACTATAAAATAACTTACTAACCTGAAGTAACGTACAAAGTCCTTAGAAAAGTGGAAATGGAGTACCGTAAGAATCCCGAATCCATGGGGGAATGGTTGTAAATTGAAAAATGTGGACTATATCAAACACTCTACATAGCATGGCCTCTCCTTCTAGTGTCCAGTTCTGGTAACCTCATCTTTAGGATTTGTCTTTTAAATATTTCTATTTAATATTTTCAGACCATGCATGAATGAATCCGTGGATATGGATCCCGTAGATACCGGGCTCCTCCTTGTACTAGATACATGTTTGAACAGCAAAAAAAAAACCTTTGATATATCCCATCAGATTTCTTGGTTCTAGACTGCTGTGCACCAACGTTGGTTCCTACTTAATGGTGACCCTCATAAGGTTTCCAAAGTACATTAAATGTTCAAGGAGTCGTTTACGATGGCCCATGGTCAGTAAGTTTCTTATGGGGATTTGTGTCCTGAGTTCTAGTCTTGACACACTATCCACAACACCAAACCACACTTACACTGATTCTATATTGTAGTCCTGTTATTAAAGCATTATTATCCTTCATAGATGGCTGGATAGCTCAGTCTTTTAGGTCTCTGGCTGAGAAGCCGGAGGTTGGGAGTTTGACTCCCGACGGTGCCTTCCGGGAGAAAAGCCAGCCTGGGTGGCCTTGGGCAAACTGCACAGTCTCAGCATCCCTTCAGAAGAAGGGAATGGTAAACCACTTCTGTGTCTTTCTACCTAGAAAACCCTGGAAATAGACTTGATGACACACAAGTATTATTATAATTTATACAGAATATTTGGTTGATCTGTGCAAAGACTGGAAAATCTGCCAGAATCACCCAGTAGTTACACTGGGAAGGATATTTTGGGAGTGGCAGTGCAGAAAACCAGCTCGATTTTTGTATTAACATTTGGACATCAGTTATGTTTCGTAGTGCGTGGAAACTACACACAGGCGATCATCCCAGGGCTGGATTCTTGAACAACTGTCTTACGAACGAGGAATTTGTGAGAAGGCGATAGAATTTCCCAACTGCTGGAACATGTGCTTGGCATGCAGTAGGTCCCAAGTTCAATCCCCAGCATCTCCGTTTAGGGTTGGGAAAGAATCTTGTCTTAACACCAAAGAGGCGCTGCCAGGCAGTGTGGCCAATACTAAGCAAGCTGATCCTGAAACCTGACTTGGCATTATTGACGAAGCAAAGGAAAGCAGTGTCTCGGTAGCATTTAGGACCGTAAGATGCCCACTTAGGGCCAGAGCCAATTCTTTGTCAAACCAAAAGAGACCCATTGAATGAACAAGACTTTAAGCCCATTTTAAATCAACTACGATTCAACAGGTCTAACTTTTGGGGACTAGCAGCTGGGGACTCTGTGTTCCTACACTCTTCTTGGCGATTGGCAGCCCCATTCACCGGCCTCAAAGCCAAAGTCCACTTGCAGAAAGACAGCGACCTTACCCTGTTTCACACAAAAAAAGAGACTATTCTTACCAGATTTGTGGAATGTAAGTATTTCAAACAGGCAAGACCCAACAATATTGCTCCCCAGTGCCCAGATGCATCCCTGCCACTACCTTTTTTCATCCATGAGGCTGAAGGGCGTTTCAAAATCTTCAATGGGTATCAGTTCTGGAGAGGTTTTCTCCAGTTTCCTTAATTTCTTCTTCAGGCGCTCTTTTGCAGCTAGTTCAAGTTTTGGATCAATCTTCTTCTTCTTCCTCGGCTCTGCCCTAATACAGAAAAAAAAATCAATTCGGAAAGACCAGTTCAGTCATTGCACGCACACTACTGCATCTGGGTCAAAATAATTCCCCAAACAGTCTTTGAAGGAAGGCTCGCCGGACTAATAACTTTTGACATCCTGTCCTTTATGGCAGTGGTCTCCAACCTTGGGCAATAACTTTTCACATCCTATCCTTTATGGGATGGACAGTGAGCGGCACCAAATTCCTCTTCCAGCACAATCTTGCATGTTTTGAATTGGAAATATCTCTCAATATACCCATTGTGGTTCCTTTCTAGGTAAACGTGAAAGAATGGATCCCCACAGGGCAATTTCACACATCTAACTCAGATTTAAGCCCCACTGAGTTTAATAGGACTTCCTTCTAGGAAAATGAGTCCTGGTTTGTAGCCATAATTACCATAGCAGTGGTTCCCTCCCTTGGGACTCTCACAGATGTTCCTGGACTACATTTCCCAGAAATCCTAGTGGATTAGCACAGCTAGTAGTGAAGGCTTCTGGGAGTTTTAGTCCAAGAACATCTGGGGACCCAAGGTTGGGAACCTCTGTCATAAGGCAAAAGTGAGCAACTTTGCCAATTTTCTGCTCTCAGGGGCTGCCATAGGCCCTGAAGAAGTAGGAGTCAGGGAAGGGACACAGATTTCTCAATTCTACGTCTTGTTTTTTTATTTTATTTTGCTTTGATATCAGGCAACAGTGAGCAACTTAGGAGAGTCCCTTCGGCAATTTTCTGCTCTCAGGGGCTGCCATAGGCCCTGAAGAAGTAGGAGTCAGGGAAGGGACACAGATTTCTCAATTCTACGTCTTGTTTTTTTATTTTATTTTGCTTTGATATCGATGGCATTCAATTCTGGAACAAAACTGTAACCTTCGGCAATTTTCTGCTCTCAGGGGCTGCCATAGGCCCTGAAGAAGTAGGAGTCAGGGAAGGGACACAGCTTTCTCAATTCTACATCTTGTTTTTGTTTTTGTTGTTGTTGTTTTTTGCTTTGATATTTATGGCATTCAATTCTGGAACAAAACTGTAACTCTTAGAGGCTTCCAGCATTAGAAAAGACATTTTCCATGTACATGCCAGATATTTCTTTTCGCCCCCCCCCATGGGGGCCCAAAGAGAAGTATTTGCTCACCCCTCCTGCTCCTAACGTGTGTGGTTTAAATTAAGCGGCACAGGTTCAAATCTGTACCTAACCAGGAAGGTTATTGGTTAAATTTTAGCTTAACCATAACCACCCATCTCCTGAAAAGGACAAAAGCCTATCTCACAGCCATAAATACTCCACTCCCAAGCCAACTACACCAGAGCACAGAGTGCTTTCCTCTGAAGATGCCGGCCACAGAGACTGGCGAAATGTCAGGAAGAATAACTTTCAGAACACAGCCAAAGAGCCTGAAAAACCCACAACAACCATTAGATCCCAGTCATGAAAGCCTTCATGAATACATTTAGCTTAATATTTTTCCATCTTACCGTGACTTTCAGAGCCACCGCAGAGACAAATATATACGCAAAATATTGTACAATTTATAACCCAGTCCATATTTTCAGCAAGAACTCGGACGTCACAGAAGTAGTTTCGTTCCCTAATTGTACCTAGGGCATCGTGGTTGGTGTCAAGATTAGAAACAGAGGCTCAGCTTTAATTCTCCACCTAGCTATGAAACTTATTGAATGACTCTGGGCCGCTCACTCACAGCTACTCACAGCTCAACTTATCTTACAGGGCTGCTGTCAAGATAAAACAAGATGATGTCAGGAAAGGACCACAAAAACCTAAGTTGCTTGGTGAAAGATCATGCTTAGAATGTGAGAAAGTAACAAAAGTAATGAAATATAAATACTTTTAAATTCCTATAATAAATGAAATTATATTTTATTCAACATAATTTCTATTTTATACAGTATAATTATATTTAAATATAATAAAAATAGTTTATATATTTCATTAAATATTTACATGGATTCCCACTCTCCCTCCCCCCTTGCAGGAAGAGAAAAGGACGCTCTTGAAAGTTGTTTTAAAATTAGAACTGAACCATATTTTACCTCATGGGTAGAGCTGCCCTCAGTCCAAGAAGCGAAGACTGCCAATGGTTTGTTCGGTGCTGGACGTTCCACATTAGCTGAGGACTAACAAATAATGAGTACAAATATGAGATCAATTCATGATAAACAAAGAAAAAAATGCCCAGATAGATGGACTAGTCCTTTTCTGCAATACACCTTTTAAAAAATAATACTGTATACCTGTTGCTCAGTGAAAATGTTTTTGTCAGAATACAGTTCTCCAGATAAACTTTCCAAACCTCTTATGTATTTGCAGTTATTGTCTGTATAACCCAGTCCTTTATCCAAGATGAGTGCTGAACAAAGTGCCAGACCCATAATTAATTAACTGTGCCATGATGTGTTGTGGGTTTTTTCCCAGCCAAATCACATTCAGTAGGAAGCCGATATACACCTTGCCTTTATGTCTTCATATTTAAGATGCCTAACAGCTCTCCCTCCAAATGGGTGGCATCAGAATTCCCAGCCCTAACATAACTTTGGCTGGCAAGCGCAATGGGACTTAGCAGTCTACCAGGCTTGGAGAGTACTTATTTGAGGAAGGCTGATAGACTGGCATGAAAGAGGAAGAGCAAGAAATTCTGCACTGCCATTTGTCCACTGAAAGGCAGCGAGCCGGACAGCGCAGTAGTTTAGGTAGAGCCAGAGGCTGGGAGTTCAATCCCCCCCAGAGAGCAAGTAATGTATGACCCTAAATGGAGAACGCCGACTAACTCGTGTGTGTGTGTGTGTGTGTGTGTGTGTGTGTGTGTCAAAAGCCAATCAACCCCCCAGAGAGCAAGTCATGTCTGGCCCTAAATGGACAACGCTGACTA